GTTTTCTGAGCTCTAGGCTCACGGGCTCAGAAAACAACGCAAGCCGCCGCCACCACCTCCTCCCCCTCCTCCCGAGCGGACTGAAAGCAGCTGGGGCTGAGGAAACGAAGCCACCTCGGCTCGCATTGTTTTCTGAGCCCGCGAGTCTAGAGCCAGGGCGCTTTCATTGCACGGCGGAGCTTCTTGTCTCGGGAAACACTGGGTGTCTTTGCTGCCCCCTGAGGGGAGGGCGATTCTGGGCTGCGCGATTGGGGGACTTTCTGGCTTTGGGTGGGTGGGTGGGAGCGAGGACGTTGACTTTAAGCGCTGCTGACCGAGTGTTTCACAAATACCAGTGGGACCTCCGTCCACCACCACCCTTCCCTCTTTTGCCTCCTTCCTTCTGATCAATCAGGTTTTCCCAGTATTTGCTCACAGCTGCGTTTTCTCTTCTGCTGTGCTAGGCGTTGAATGCGGGGATTTCTGATTCCCCTTACATGCGCGTGGATATGCCGCGGGGCGTTTTCTTCCAAACGCCCCACGGGCAGAGAACACTGACTTTCATGATAGTGAGATCATTTCCCAAATTAATTGATTCACTAACCCAAAAGAAGAAGATGATGATGACAGTGGGAGGCAGGAGTCACTCTCTCCCTTGCAAGAAAAAAGCAAGAGCCATTCTTATGATCTCTCTCTCTCTCTCTCTCTCTCTCTCTCTCTCTCTCTCTCTGTCTCTTGCTGGAAAGGACTTGACTGTATTACGGAGAAAGAGAGAGAGAGAGATCATAAGAACGGCTCTTGCTTTTTTCTCGCAAGGGAGAGAGTGACTCCTGCCTCCCACTGTCATCATCATCTTCTTCTTTTGGGCTAGTGAATCAATTAAACCTTTCATGATAGTGAGATCGTTTCCCAAATTTCCCTTAAATCAGGGAAGAAATCAGAAACAAACCTTTGGACTGAGAATAAGCCTGTTCCTATGATGCCATTTTTGTTCACTGCAGTGTGAAAAGTGTGAAAAAACACACTTTTTCTTCATCTTCTTGTCCCTATTTACTGGTCTCTTTCAAAGAGGAAATTGTGAACATCAAACTTATTCTCAACTGTCCTCGTGAAAGTTTTATTGGTATCTATTTTTATTTTTGAAATTTACCAGTAGCTGCTGCATTTCCCACCCGAGGCTTATACTCGAGTCAATAAGTTTTCCCAGTTTTTTGTGGTAAAATTGGGTGCCTCGGCTTATATTCAGGTTGACTTATACTCAAGTATATACGGTATATTGATTTATAATTTCATGTTTATATGTATATTGTAGATTGTGCAGCAATTTCACTAGATTTGATATCCATTCCTCCAACATGCTCCTCCAAGCATGTCAAGGGATTTTACAAGGCTGGCATTCACTGGTGTTTTCCCCTCCCCAAACATTAGCAAAAGCCAGCCTCCTGAGCCTTTGGGGAGGGAAAACCACCAAGCGAACACCAGCCTTCTGAAAGGCTCAAAAGGCTGCCTTTCACTAGCATTTTCCCCAGATTTGAGATACGTTCCCCCTACACACCATTGTTTTTTCTGGGGAAGCTGGCAGAGAATATTGCAAATGTTGATCACATTATTGTGGGGCAGGAGTCACAGATTGTAATTGCAAAAAAAGTTGCCAGGTACCTGAAATTCAACTGGAGTGTTTCAAGTTTTTTTATTTAGAAAATGATAGATCATGGCAGAGGTAAATAAAATTATGCTTGGGGAGAAAGTATTTCAACAAAACTAAAATGGGAGAGTATTAAGATAGGCTGACTTTTACATGTTAGAAGTAGTGTTAGTAGTGGTCAACTTTGCTTATTTGGAAAAGAGAGGGAATAAGGTTATTTGTGACTATTATAATGACTGTATATAATCTTCAGAATTAGAAAAAAATTAAACATAATTTGTTGGGAAACATGGATGGGTGAATAATGTAGTATCCAGATTCTTTTTACAGATACAGGTAGTCCTCAAGTTACAACCATAATGGAGCCTGCCCATTGCAGTTATAAGTTGTAACAGGCATAAAGCAAATCTGTCATATGACTGAATTTACAATCTTTCTTGCAGTGATCATTTAAATGAACACTTTGGTCATAAGCAACTGCTGCAGTCATTAAGAGAATGCAATGGTCATTAACCAATTGTTGCTATGTGACTGATTTTGCTAAAATAAACTGGAAATAATTGTCAATTTTCAGCAAAACCATTGTAAAATGTTTTCGTATGTTAATGGGATGATGCAAAAGGCCATGAATTCAATTGGTTATCTAGCACCAAAAATACAATCATGTGACCCTGGGGCGACTTTCAGAACATTGAATCTGGGTCAAGTAGCATGCATCAGAATTCCAGTCCTAAGTTGAGGAATACCTATACATGGCTGACCAATCTTTTCTTGAAAATTTCTGGTGATATTCACTAGTTCATGAGACAGGCTGTTCCACTGTTTAACAGCTTTCACAATCAGGACGTTCCCCCTTGTTTCAAGATTGGACCTTCTCTCATTAGTTCTTCTCTCCTAGTCAGCCATTTGTCCAGATTGATATCAGGATTCCTGCACTGGGCAAGAGGTTGGGCTACATGACTGGAGGGTCCTTCCCAACCCCCAGATTCCAAGTGTAATTTATGAGGAAATTAAAAAATGGAGGAAATGAAGCTTTGCTTTTATCCATCAGTGCTCTTTTGTTTAACTTTTAGAGTTTTCTGAGAGTTGCGAACTTCTACAGAAAGCCTGTTTTGAATGAAAATATTTCCTTTTAAGTAGTTTATAGTAGTTAAAAGTAGTCTTTTAAGTAGTTTATAGAAGTTGATGTTTGAAGGCAGTTTTTAATTTAAGATAATTATTATGTTATATTTTTGTAACTTGTTTTCGAATTATAAAAAAAAGCTGAGAACCCACAAGTGAAAAAATATTTTCTGCATCCGTTTCCCATTCCCCTTGTTGTTAATCAATACTGCATTTCCCCCAAAATAAGACCTGGTCTAATTGTTTTTGCCTCCAAAAGAGGCATTAGGTCTTATTTTGGGGGGGATATCATGTGTCTTGCCTCATGGCGGCAGCATCAACAGCCCCATGCAGCAGGAGCTTGTGTGGCCACTGCTGGTCCACTTTTTCTGTGGCCGCTTGCTGCCACTTGCATGTGGTACCCTCCCCACTTTTCCAGTCTCTGTTTTGCCATCAGAGGCCTTCAGGAAAGGCATCTGCAGCCAAGAAACAAGCTCTGGATTGATGTGCATGGCGTCCCCCAGGCCTCCATTTCACCATTAGAGGCTTTTTCTGAAGTGTCATCCATTGACATCCAGAGCCCATTACTTGGCTGCAGAGGCCTTTCCTGAAGGTGAAACAGAGGCCTGAGGCAATGTGTGCAAGCAGAGGAAAGCGGCCACAGAAAAAATGAGCCAGCAAGGCAGGTGTTAGAGCGTGGGAGGCCTGGATGCAACTCTTAAGGTAAGCGGGTGCGGGGCATTTGAGGCAGCTACACCTCTGCATCCCCTCCCTACTTTGAGGTTTGCGCCTCACCCCACCTCATGCAACCAGGTGCAACAAAGTGGGTGGGGGTTTAACTAGGGGTTATTTGGGGGCACAGGGCTTATATTGGGTTCATGCGTAAAAAATCAAGCTAGGGTTTATTTTTGGAATAAGTCTTGTTTTGGGGGAAACAGTATATAAAGTTGCAGTTCTTGTATGTGCAAGGGTTAATTTATATTTTGAAT